TTTGCTCATCTATAAAACGGGGCTAACAATAGTGCCTTTCTACCAGAATTACCGCAAAGATTAAGTAAGTTAGGTAGGAAGAGCACATGGGAATGTCTGGCACACAGTGAGCACTCCGTAAACAGCAGTGCTAATCATAATCCATTATTCTGGATATTCTTTTTTTTTTTAAGTACTTTATTTATTCATTTGTCAGAGACAAAGAGAGCACAAGCAGGGAGAGCACAAGCAGAGGGAGAAGCAGGCTCCACGCTGAGCAAGGAGCCCGATGGGGGACTCGATCCCAGGACCCCGGGGTCATGACCTGAGCCAAAGGCAGATGCTTAACTGACTGAGCCACCCAGCTGTCCCTATTCTGGATATTCCTTGTTTGCCCCTCCAGATCCACTTTCCACCTCCATCCTGCTCTATGCCCCAAGAGCTGATCATTATGGACTGCTAGCAAAGGCTATGGCTGGTTCTGGTCAACAGGAGGTACCAGAAGAAGATGGGAGAGCTAGGCCGGGGTACTCATTCCCCAAGCTCCCTCCCTGCTGGGGCTCAGGTGGGCACTGACTACTTTCTAAGGCCACAGCTCCTGCCAAGGGGCCCCGTCCAGGTTCCAAAAGACCCAGAGTGGGGGGTGGGGGGGCACACATCACTTGTCAGGTACTCCACACTGTGCTCACAACTTTGCAAATGATCCCTTCATTATGCTTTCTTTGATTACCGCACGTAAGTGTGCACCTGATTCCTGCAAGGACCCTGACCAATATAGTAATCACCTCCATCACCATCACCATCCTGAATTTCCCTTAGAAAGGGAATATTGTAGGAAAGCCTTTGGTTCTGCTGTTTCTCTTAACAGCATTAGAGGTGGTTTGTCTGAGCAGAACTAGGCCAGCATATAGGAGGAGCATCAGACCAGCCAGGGATTAGAATCAGAGCACCTCCCCCTAACTCTGGGGACCAGGAAAAGCAAGTTCCCCAGTAGAAGGCCAGCCCAGCTCTGAAAGCCAATATATTGGGCCAACACCATGAGAAGCCTCCCCACAGACCCCCATCCCACACTTTCTCACGAAAAAGGCAGGCCCTGGTTAGGTCTACAGGATGCTGGCAAAGCCAACGTCCTGCGCTCTGGTAGCAAGTCTGTGTTCCCAGTGCAGCTGTCCTTCCCTCCCACTCCACGACAGTCTCACACCGGGCAGCCCAGCTTCCTAGGCTTGCTTCTATTTTAAAACACTCTGGGAGGTAGGCCACCACCAGCAAAGCCTTCAGTAAGAAGCTTCAAGACAATGTAACTGACTTGGGGGCACCCTGCCTGCCTCCCCACCCATCAAGGGAAGAAAAGCCTGGACTGGCAGGCAGCATGCCAAGGTCTGAGTCCCAGGCGCACCCAGGGCTCCTTCCTGGCCTCAGACTCCCCAAGTTCCCTGGAGCCTCGCTACCTGGCTTGACCCAGTGGGGTTAAAATAGACAGTGCTTGCGCAGGTAGATTTGGGAGTCAAGCAGCCCTGAGTTCCAATACCACTCCACAACTCTCTAGATATGTGACCTGGGCAAGACAAGTCTCACTTTTCTTCAGCTCTAATATGGGGAAAGAGTACCTGTCTCAGCATCACTGTGAGAACTGAATTAGGCTGTTAACATAAAATACTTAATACAGTGAATGGTACCTGGGAGGCATGCAACCACCACAGATAGTATTTTGTTAGAGGTTTACATTTTATATATTTCTTATTATAATTACCGGTGCTATGCAAGTTATCAAAAGGTCACCCTCAACCACAGGGTCCAGAGTCCTCCCTGACCACAATGAGGTACTGTTTAGCTGAATATTCTCCAGGTAAGTCCTAGAACGCCTCCTACCTCATTCCAGGAAAAGCTGACCTTTCTCCTGATAGACACCCAGGGTCACTGTCCTTGCAACGAAGAGGGGTGACTCCACTGACTGCAATCCACTGACAGCTAGCCTACACCCAGCCAGACACATGTTCACTCTGATCAGCGTGAAAGAAGAACACTCCCCGGCTGAACAGCAAATTCTACCCTATTAGCTCATCACAGTGGCCCCTTGGTATGCTACCTCGGTGTGAAACTGCCAGCCCTGGGTCCCAACTCTGTGCTCAAGCCTCCTGACCCATGAAAAGGAAACAATAGTACCTCTCTCCCAAGGTTTGTAGGATGGTGGATTCAACATCACAGAACGTATGTTAATCCCCCAGGAGGGTGCTGAGCAGGCTTTCAAGTGAGAACGACTGTTTTGATGATGATGATCACACAGTGGAGAAACTGAGGAACAAGACAGTGACTTGACCTGTACTAGATCCAGTGGCTCACGTCAGAGACGTGTTGTGAACTCAATCTGTGCTCCAAGACTCTCTCCAGCACAGTTCTGGGTAAAGGGCATAGATACCCAATCACCCACACCCCCCGAGAGCAAGCAGTCAAAAGGAGGAAGGTGCCCAGGCCCAGCTAAGGATCCCACTGGTCACATTTCCTCAGTGGCTACCAGAGGAGTCTGTAAGAAGTCCAAGGCCACAGACCCTCTGAGTACCCTGAGGGGCTGCCTGCAGGCTTGGGCTGGCTCTCAACCACAGACAGACATGCTTCTCTCAGTCACCACCAACAAAGAGGTCAGGCCATGAGAAATTCCACCAAAGGCAAAGTGAACTGCAATGCCTTGGGAGCATCCTACCGGGAAAGGTGAGGGTCAATGACCAGCTTGAAGGGTACTGCCCACATCTGCCTAGTGCCCATCAGGACCAGCAGCCCACGGCAACTCCTTACTGTATGGTCCCCCTAAGCCACTGCATGTGTGTCTACAGATAGCCCTGCTTATAGAATGGAAGACAGAAATAAAGCTAAGTAATCAACTGACAGCAGGGTCAACCATTTTACTCTGGACAACTCCAGTGCTGAAGTTACCAAACCACCCACCATCAGAGAGGGGGGAAAAGCACGAGGCCCAAAACTTTAGCAGAATCCCATTCACCTGGGTCACCCTCCCCCGCAGGCCCAGAAACACAGTCCTACAGGTTTCCCACAGGACGTGAAAAAGTCACAGAATTAAGGTAACATGTTTAAAGCAGTTATTTCAAATTAGGAAACCGTTCCGCCTCTCAGCGCTCTAGGGCTGTACATTCCACTGCAGCTCTTGAAACATGTGTGACTCTCGCTAAGCAAGGCTATTTTCTGGAAGTGAGTGAGATGTGCGTACCCCTTAGAAAGGATGTCCAAGAACAAGAGACTATGGTCTGGGCCTGCAGCCACTACATATGCCCATTCAATAATTTCACAAATACTTAATGAGCACCTACTATAAGCCATGTGCTACAATGCTAAAAACTATCCTTCTATCAGGAAGGGTGAGTTGCCTCTTGGATAAAAAGCAAGAGTGCATTTACCCCCAAAGACCCTTCTCAAGTACCTACTATGCGCCAAGTGGCCCCACCCCACGCACTGAAAAAAAGCTGCATAGGGCTTAAGCCTAATCCTGTAGACCTCAGTCCAGAACTGGGGTGGAGAAACAAGGCTAGCCCTGGGCAGTCTGCCCTGGCCTTGCCAACTGAGTGTTAGGCAAAGGAGGGGTCCATTCCCTATCTCCCCCAGAGAGGTGAGGCTGGTCAAGGACTAGGCTTCCCTCAGGTCAAACAGGGCTAGGCTTCCCTCAGCTCCGCACCCACACGCAACTTCCTGCTTCAGCCTGACCTTGTCTGTCTATAAACTTACAGGATTTTTCCTGAATTATCCTGAAAATTAATCAATGCCTGGCACACAAGTGTTTAATAATAATGTTTAAAATAACAGTGGCTGTTTATGTTTATTGAACCCTTTCCAGAACACCACGTGGAGTAAAAATGGTGTGCAGAGGATGGGCTAAATCCTCCCCCAAAAGCCTCAAGGCTGTCAAGGTTTCTACCCAAGGCTCTGAGTTAACCAACTCATTTCATTCTTCCCAAAAACCCAACGAAGGAGAGCTACAATTACTCCTATTCCACAGAAGAGAAAACCCAGGCCTGGTATCGTCCCGGCTGTGTGACCTTGGACAAGTCACTGGGACTGCAGCCCTGAAATCCAAGGGCCCTGAACCAGTTCCGTGAAAGCGCCGCCATACTCGGTGAATGAATGAGCAAAGGCACCGGGAATCCCTCCTAGGGCCAAGGAGGCCACATCCGCTCCCCGCGGGCGTCCTCTCCGAGGCCTAGCCTACGGCCCAGGGCCCAGCGGCCTAGGTCGACTCTCGGCCTCCGGTTCCGCCCCGTGAGGAGCTGGCACCCGCGGACAAGTGCTGGGCGCCAGCTTCCCTGGGCGCGGACCAGACAGGCCGGACAGGGCGCGTGGGGCTGGGAGCGAAGGGCCACGGCCGTCGCAGGAACCCATCCCCGCGGCGACAGCATGGCCGCAGGGGTCCGCGGGCCAAGCCCGGCGAGCGTGGGTGGCAGGCGGTCCCCCGCCCGGCCCGCGCTGGCGGGATCCGGGGCCAGAGGGCGCCGCCAGGAAAGGTCACCTAGACCCGCAGCCGGCCTGGCCTTCCGCCCGCAGGGCCCCCTGCAGGCTGGAGTCGCTGCCGCAGGCGCCCCCCGGACGTCCGGCCTCCCGCTCCCCCGCCCGAGCCCGCTCTGCCGCCGGCCCGCGCGGCCTGCGTGCCAGCCGCCGACCGGCCAGGCCCGGGCGGGTGCTGCCGCTCCCGCTCCCTCCCTGGGCCCGGCCCTCGGCCCCTCGCCCACGCCCGCTTCCCCGCACCGCCTCCCCGCTCAGCTTCGCCGGGCCGAGCGCGGACCCGGGGCCGAGGCGCCTACCTCAGAGGCGGTGGCGGCGGGCCGAGCGGCGGCTTCCGCGGGGGCTGCGGCGAGCGGAACCGAGCGGGCTGCCGGGCCGAGGGCGGGCCGGCGCGGACGGCGGCGGCGCGACCCGCCCCGCCCCCGCGCGCCGGGACCGGCGAGCTCCGCCCCCGAGCCCGCCCCGGACCCCGACGAGGCCTGGCCCGGGGCCCCAGCCCGTGCGGGCCGCGCCCTTACCTCCCTGCGCTCTCAGCGCCCGCCGCGGGTGCGCGTGCCCACCGGGTGTGCGGGCCCGCGACGGGGACGAGGCGGCGTGAGGGCTGACGTTCGCAAGCCGTGTGCGTGCGCGGGGACACGCGTGCCGGCCGCCCGCGCGGGCCAGTCGTGGCTGGAAATCCTCCGGGTCGAAGCTGGCGTGGAGGCGGGAGGGTCTTCCGGTTCGCTGGGCGGTGGCCGGGAAGGGGGGGCGGTCCGGCGCTAACGGAAGACGCGCGGGATCCCGGGCCCGCATCCTGACCTGGGGGCTGGGGGACAGTCGCCCTGCCCCGGGAGATGATGCGGCGAGCGGTGCTGGGCCAGCGCCTAGCCCGGGTGGCCTGGGTGACCCCCGGGACCCCTACCCGGGCAAAGCCCGCACGGGATGTTAAATGGGGCTCTGTGCTCCTGGGGGTAGTCCCAGGCCTGGCTGGGGGACTGGGCGCCCGGGCTGGCGCGGATACGAAGGAGAGGCCACGACTGTCGCTCCCCGGCTCCCGACGCAATGTTTCCCGCCTCTGACCCTTGCTTGCACTACGCCAGGCTCGCCGAGCCCCGCGGCGGCCGAGGGCAAAGCGCTGAGAAGAAGCCCCGTGCGCCGAGCTTGCACTCCAGATTTGCAGATACTTTTTCCCTGGAGCGAAACTGCTAGTAGCCATTTTCGGAGCGTTTTGAGAAGTGAAAAAAGTAAATTGCGTTTCGCCAGCCTATCTCCCGAGTCTCCCAGCGCGCAGACGTAATGCAGGTTCTGGCCAGCCGGGGGCCCCTCGGGGACCCCGCGTCCACCAGGGGCCTGCCTCCCCCGGTGAGAGTGTGGCGTCTCCCCGCTAGGCCTGAGCGGGTGGTCTCCTTCACCAAAGAATTACCACTGAGTGTTCCCAAGAATGAATCACTTCGTGGCTGGATGAAGATTCTGCACGTCTTCCGCCGTTCTCCGAGGCTTGGGGCGTCTGGGGCCCCGGTGGGGGCGGTGCAGGGCTACGGAATCAGGACCCTCGCTAGCTGTGGCTAACACCTGTGGCACAGATTGAAGGAGTAGGCAACTGGGGCATGGGCAGAGGCAGTCAGGACAGGCTTCTGGAAAGAGATGGCAGTTTAAATGGGAAAGGGCAATGGTGTTCCAGTGGGGGTGGGATGTTGAGGAAGAAGGGCGCTAGCTTATGGGGGGCGGGGCGGGGTGCAGACAAGGTGCACTGGGCTCTGTAGAGGGCTCAAGTCTGATTGAAAATGTGAGCAAGCACAGCTAAACCCCTTGAGGTCCTGGAGCGTGGAGGACCGATGCTAGAACTCTCCCCAAGCCCATGAGCTGCTCCATGGCTGACTGGGAAACTCAGAGCTTCCCAGCGTGGTCATCCCCATTCTGCACACAAAGGTCCCAGCACACTACTGGAGAGAGTGAGACAAGGAAAGGGCCTGATCACCCATGAGTGCAGTACAGCGGAGTTTGGGAGGACAGAACCTCAGGGAGGCAGGGCAGAACCAGATGGCTCTATGGGAAGATGGGGTTCTGGAAACCTCACATGAGCTAGGAGCAAATGCCCCACCCTGGGTCAGTGAAGCCCAGGTGTGATGCTTGGACCAAATGTCCTAGGGGCTCCCTCCTCTCCAGCACTCCTTTGCCAAACCCCCTTTCAGGACCCCTCAGCATGGGAAGAGTTCCCCATGCCCCACCTGCTCTGGGTCCCTTCTGGGGCTCCCCTAGGTGCTGCTACAAGATTAATAATGTGAGTGCCCTTTGACTCACTGGCTGTGTGACCCTGGGCAACAGGGCTAACCGCTCGACTTCAACTTCAGAGGGCTGTGGCGAGTTTAAAATGGGAGAGAAAACAGGTAAGCACTCAGAAAACAGTGAAGAAATCTGGTGAGACATGGAATCCTCAGACCCTAATGTTGACCCCTCCCCACCACAGCCCCAAGGGAAGAACTGAACAAGGCAGCCTGTCATGCCAGGCTTAGCAACCCCACCTTCACTCTGTCTTCCAGGGGTTTGAGCTAGGAGTGGCACCTGACTCAAGACCAGCCAATCAGGTCCTCTCTTGCAATGATGAACTAATAAACCCAGGTCAGGTATAACAGTTTTTCTTTGGAGGAAATGACCCTTCTCCCCCTCCTGTCAGTCCACAAGCTCTGATGGAACTGACTCCATCCCTGACTCCAGGGACTTTCTTGGACCAAGCACTGCACGCTACTGGCTACAGGGATGGACCAGTGACCCCGGCCAGACTTCCTGAGGCTTTTGAAATAAAGACTTGCCCTAAGAATGAAGCCAGCCCACAAAAGAGAGACAGAGACCAGATCCTGGGGACATCCCAAGATAAACACAATAAAAAAATTTTCTCCTGCATATCCAAAACCATGAGGTTCCTAGGATTTAAAACAGTTCCAAGAAGTTCCAACATAATATCCATGATTTTTTTTTAAAGAATTTATTTATTTGAGAGAGAGAGAATGAGAGAGAGCGAGTACATGAGAGGGGGGAGGGTCAGAGGGAGAAGCAGACCCCCCGCCGAGCAGGGAGCCCGATGTGGGACTCGATCCCGGGACTCCAGGATCATGACCCGAGCCAAAGGCAGTCGCTTAACCAACTGAGCCACCCAGGTGCCCTCCATGATTTTTTTTTAAAGATTTTTTTTTTTTTTTTTTTTTATTTATTTGACATAGAGACAGAGAGAGAGGGAACACAAGCAGGGGGAGTGGGAGAGGGAGAAGCAGGCTTCCAGCTGAGCAGGGAGCCCGATGCGGGGCTCGGTCCCAGGACGCTGGGATCATGACCTGAGCTGAAGGCAGACGCCTAACCACCTGAGCCACCCAGGCGCCCCCATAATATCCATGATTTTTAAAAAATTATATATACATACACACAGAGAGAAATATTGGAAGGAAATTTACTAAGTATTAATGAAAGTTGTGTTTCAATTTATGGGACTTTGTGATTCTTGACTGTGAATCATGAGTCCAAAACCCACATTGGTATAGAGATTACTAAAAAATAAATAACTTAAGAAAAGCAATTTATGGAACTGAGTGGGTTTTTTTTTCCTTTAGCTCTTTCTATATGTCCCAAATATTCTTTAATGAGATATAATACCTTTAGTATTAGAGAACTTTTTTTTTAAGAAAGGCAGATGAGGTTGATCAGGAGAGGTAGTGTAAACTGATATAGTCCTGGAAAGCAATTAGGCAATATATAACAAGAATCATAAACCTAGTCCTTTGACCTCTTCCTGGGAACCCATGCTAAAGCAATCCCAAGAATGGGGAATACTAGCTTCAGAAAGATGTGTAGCAGCCCAGAATGGAATACAGCCCGGTTTCCAGCTTGAGCAAATTGAAGCTTATACCTTCTATAGAGCATTCATATCCTTGAGGAAAGAGGGTCACAAAGCCTTCCTGTGGGGAAATATTTCTATTACAATGCTAACCGAAGGCAATCATGTATTAGTATTACTGCAACCACGACATTAAAAACTGTAGAGACAAACCGTGGTGGACAGAGTAATGACCTCTCAAAGATGTCCACGTCCTAATCATCCCAACCTATATGTGTGTGTGTGTGTGTGTGTAACTCTACACGTCAGAAGGAACTTAACAGATACAATTATGTGAAGGATCTTGAAATGGGGAGATTAACCTAGACTGTCCAGGTGGGCCCAATGTAACCACAGTGGTGTTATGAAGGAAGACAAGAGACTCAGAGCGAGAGAAGCTGATAGAGCAACAGAAGCAGAGGTTGGAGAGAAAGATAGGGAGATGCCTTTCGGTCGGCCTTGATGATGGCACAATGGCCTGTGAGCCCTGTGATGCAGACCGCCTCCGGAAGTCAGCAAAGATAAGGAAACAGATTCTCCCCTCAAAACCTCTAGAAGGAACCAGTCCTTGCTGACACCTTAACTTTAGCCCAGTGAGACTAATTTTGGACTTCTGACCTCCTGAACTGTAAAATAATAAATCTAAATTGTTTTAAGCCCCTAAGTCTAAGGTACTTTTTCACAATAGCATAGGAAACTAATACAGGAGCCTCAGAAGACAATACTATAAATGATCTGTCTTAGCTCAGAGTGCTAGAACAGAAAACCACAGACCGAGGGGCTTCAACAACAGACATTCGTTTCTCACAGTTCTAGAGGCTAGAAGTCTGGGATCAGGGTGCCAGTGTGGTCGGGTTCTTGGTGAAAGCCCCCTTCCTGCTCATGTCCTCACACGGCCTTCCTTGGTATGAGCAGAGAGAGAGAGAGGAAGAGGGGGTGATCACTCATCTCCTCCTCTTTTTATAAGGGCATTAATCACATCAGAGGGCCCCACCCTTATGACCTCATCTAACCTTAATTACCTCCCAAAGACCCCACCTCCTAATTCCATCCTGGTGGGGGTTACAGTTTCAATATTTGAATTTGGGGGAGGACACAAACATGCAGTCCACTATAATTGGCAAGATTCTAAGTGTTTTTGTTTTTGTTTTCTCTTAAGTTCCAACTTTTTTTTTTTTTTTAAGATTTTATTTATTTATGTGAGAGAGAACATAAGCAGGAAGGGAAAGGGAAAAGCAGACTCCCCACTGAGCAGGGAGCCCTACTCAGGGCTCGATCCCAGGACCCTGGGATCTTTATCTGAGCCGAAGGCAGACGCTTAACTGAATGAGCCACCCAGGTGCCCTTCTAAGTTCCAACTTTTAAACGCTGTGGTGAACAAATTAAAATCAAACAATCATGAAAAGAGGCAGGATTTCTGCTGTATAAAACTACCTGTGATTTGGAATGCAGATCTACTATTACATGGCAAACCTGTATGGCAAACCTGGTGCCTCAATCCCGGTCCAGCTCACCCGACAGGGACCCCAGTATGTGCGCATGCTCACATGGGTGTGGGTATGTTTGGGTGGGGCTGAGGGTACTAAGTAGAACTGACTTGGGTTGGTAGCCTACCAGAGACCTCTGAGCTAAAAGGTGGCAAGAGTTTATCCTTTGCTCAGCCTGTACTGTGTCCTGCAAAAGATGAAGAAAACCAGGAAAAAATTCAGCTAGGATCCTCTTTTACTGCAAGAGACAGGGAACCCCTTTTCCAGGCCCCAACAGTAAGTGGACACATGCAGTGTGCCCTGAAGACAGACACAGAAATGCCTCTTGCCCTTGACTTTCAGCAACTGAAAAAAGGTCTGGGACTTGAGGAAGAATTTCCCAATTTCTGCACAT